CCATTGCTTTCAAACTTGTTTAAGATATTACCAGAAATACAAACTTACCATCTCGATCTTCATCATGCACACTTAAATACAAATACTCCATTCCTCTTCCTTTTTTGTATTCCTCTATTCCTTGAATTTTTCCTATCAAGCTAGTTTTACCTGCTCCATCTTCACCTGCAGAGACAAAAGTTAGATACCACTCAATCTTTAAGCACAGTCACGTACTAAAAACCACCTGCGGCAAGAAGGAAATCATACATTAATAGGGTGACTGAGCTCATTAAAAGTTTTGAAATACGAGCAGGTTTTGCCCAACTCATCCATCTGTTCAAAGTGCATGCCTCAGCTTCAAATCTTATTTCTAATTATTGATAAATGCAATTATGCCACTAACTATCCTATCTGAAATAGACTCTTATACATATCTTTGGAAAGATAGCTTAAGGAATAGTTAAACACCTCAAACAATTTCAGTCTTTCAGCTGCAACCAAAGTGTTAACAAAGTCTTTCTAAAGCAGAGTTCAAGTCACAGTAAGCTCATCTTACAATCAGAAGAATAAGATTTAGAACTCTCTCATATTAAACAGCACACAATACCAGGCCAAGTAAGACAAATCTGTTTCCTTAGCTTTTATGGGTTGGTTTCTTTGAATCTTTTCTCTGTTACAGGTCTAAAGAAACCTTAAAGAGAGGTGACAAACATGAAGCCCATTGCCTTACAATAAACACACAGTGACAAGCCTGCAATCCAGATCCACACAGAGGTATTTGGGTACACACAGAGTGACAAGCCCGCAATCCAGATCCATTCACTCCTGTTCTCTTCCCTCCAAAGGGAGCTCAGATAACCAGTGAACCTTATAGCACGAGCACAGTGTGAACACCTCAACTATTGCCAGAGACTCTTCTTGAAGAACTTCTATTTCTAATCATATGTCCCAGAGCTGGACAACTTCACATGCAGTTTTCCCAGTCTGAAAGAGTAACTGAGCTGAGTTCGGACATGAAGTGGGATTTTGCCACTCTAATTTGGCAGTACAATGGGTAGTTAGACATTAGAAAACTCTTGGAACTCACTCACAGGTTATAAAATTAAGATTAAAAGCACGTTCCTAAGAAGCACCTTTATCAGTTTTATGCCAAACAGAACATTTTTCTTCCAAGTCTCTCCTATACAGGGAGAGTATAAACACTGGCTTTTAACTATGTAACAAAGAGGGGAGTTCAAGGACAGTAATTTTCACTGCTAAATGTAATGAAATTTTCTCTTTAAAGGGAACTGACCATGATCTTATAGACAATATTATGGCTACATTAAAAAGACTACAGATATAACCATTGAAAAGAGCAGAAAAATCATACTTTGATAGACTGGCTTTGAATTTACTCAACATATCATTCCCAAGATAACTGCATGAAGTTTTCAATTTAGAGTTCAGCTCTATTTTCAGATTTCGCTAACAGTCTAGAAGCTACCAGAAAGCGTAAAACTGTTTACTCTAAGTAGCCCAGGGGATTTTACTCAATGGAATTAAAAAGTATTAAAAAAAAAAAAACAAACAAACACCACCAAAAAAAAAACAAACCAACCAACCAAACAAACAAAAAAAACAGAGAGAAAAATAAGACCAGAACTGAAGTTTAAGATCTGGTTAAGTATAAAGAAGCTAAGTGAAAAATGAAGTTGTGTCAGTTTAACTTTTTCAACATTTAAGAATTTGTTCGCTAGTTCCAAGACACACCTAACAATTATAGCTACTTTTAAATAATCATTGGAAAGCACAGCTATTTTCTATTCGTACAACAAGTTTTTCCTCTTCTTCTGAGAACAGTCTTTTAAATAAAAATTGTGCCCAAGAAGTGAAGGGTTCAAGCTTTGTCACCAGAGATGAATTACAATTCCTCCTCTGCCCTCACCCAAGTAGTTATCAAAGCTTCTTAAATTTGTCATTTACAAATAACTGGGGAGACTTTATTAAGAGCTGCTGCACTGACATGTTATGCTGCTGCAGTTGCTGTTACTTTTGCCAACAATTTCTGTATGATTCACTCTGTTATTTTACCTTTTCAAACAGACAGCTTCAATTAATTTGTGCCAGTGGAAGGCTCAAAAGGTAAGACAAACCAAAATTTGTTATTCCTTTTAAAGAGGGGTTGCACTTAACAACTTGATTAGCTTCTCAGAACAGCTGACTCCTAGCTAAGTTCTCTTGCACGCTAGTTTGTTTCACATAGGTGGCATAAAGATTACAACTTGTTTGCACTGAGAAAGTTTAGCATCTTCTGCAAAGTACATCTGCCAGTTCTTAACAAAAGCGGCTGCAACTTGTCTAAGAAACATCTGTGGTTATGAAAAGTTCTAAACATGACAAAAGATACACTCAAGCAGTCTAAACTAAAACATACTTATACGAATGCTAATATCTATGCAACTTTATTGTTTGAAAGTGCTCATGCTAAACAATATAGGCAAACTTGAAATATATGTCCCACGAGCCCCTTAATCATCATGGCTGTATGTTGTGTGATTTCCTTCCCACTCCTGTATTTCCAAATGCCTGAAGTAAACTGAAGTTCAATACTGTTAATATCTCATGCCAAAATAAGAGCTGGAATTTTATTTTCCCTCCTTAAGTTCTCTTGCAATTACATTTGGACCCTACACAGAAAGAAATTTTATCAGTGCAGCATAAGACAAGTCGATTTGATGTAAAATTAGTACCTTTGGACCTCTATGCATACACAGGAGTCATTTCAGCATTCCATCACAGAATTACTTAATTTGTTCTGTGAAGAAGATTCTTTACTCCCTTCTCCTTTGCAAATATCCACCCACTTCAAAACACCAAGATCAGGTAGGTGGATCACTGACATACATAACTGTATCATACAAGTTACTGCATGTAGAGAGCAGTACTCATCATTCACTGGAAAGCCAGAATGACGCATCAGTGAAGTTTTAAGGGATTGGTACTACTTTTATTAATTACTTAGGTAAATGAAGAGAATAGGACAGTTTGCAGATGATATAAGAGAAACCAAAAGATCCGTGAAGAAAAGGGTTAGAAGTAATACTGACAAGTGTCCAAACCAAGTTAGCGATGCATAAACCAACTAGTTTACAAATAGAATGACTCACTTGCAAGTGTGCAAGACAGCTGCCTAGCCAAATGTGCCCTATTCCATAGGGGTTCCAGAGTTCTCAGCAGATTTAAGCCAAATTAGAGTCAATATTATGGAAAAAGCTGTCAAAGTAAAACCAGGACCATCGTATATTGACATAAGAACTTCCTCCTTTTTACCCACACGATTAATCATAAAAAGTTAGGAAAAGATGACTGCCTTGGCCAAGAAAACATGCTAAGGCTTGAGGTTCCATCTACCTCCACTTTCTATTCTTAGTATGTTGCATATACCTTTTAAAAATGTAACAGCTGCAAATGTATTTGTATCCCTGTTATTAATTTATTTTTTCCAACCTAAAGTCTTCAACAGAAAACACCTGAAAAGTCTCACTTCGAATATATCGAGTTATGCTGGGAAAGAGCAGCAGTATTAATTTTGCTTTGTAGTTATTCTTCAGCAAGAATATCAAAATACAAATCAATCTTAAACCAGTGCTTATCTAAAACTCCTGAATAGTTATTAAAAAATCTCATTAGCCTTTAGTAGATATAGAAGCTTCTCTCCACCAGAGGAGGGCGGAAAATATTTGTGAGTAAATTAAAGTCTATTAGCTATTTTAGATTTAATGTATAACGTACAGCATAGTAATGCAATTAGCATTAAGCACTACCAGGGACATATACACACACTATATGGAATTTGAAATTACAAACCCTATGACATTTAAGCATATTTATCTTTTTTGTTGTCTCTGGATATCTCTAAAGTATATGAAAACATAACACTGCTTAGTTTCAGACTTAAGCATCATTGCATATTAATGTTATGAAACAGATTTTTTTTGATTTTTTTTTTTTTAAGTGCTATGGAAGCAATATATATAACAGCGTCATGCACCTTCAAGAAAAGTCACCATCATCCTCCTCATCCCTCAAACTCTGAGATGGAAAATGCTTTAGCTTCTTTATTTCTAACTGTGTGAGAATCAAATTAACAATTGACTTCCGTATGTAAGCTCACAGAGCAAAACATTTCTGACACACAGTTCTCAATACAGAATGGCACGGTAGAATAAAAATCAAATAGACCATTGCAAATTTAAGATTTTGCATTCTTCTTTTGCAAGCAGCATAAAAGGACCTCCTTTTCCAGGGTAAATCCTAAAGAATTAAAATGCTCCATTACATTGAACTGCACTTACACATTAATACTACAGTGAGGAAACTGAAGCAACGCTTCTAGCAAGCAGTGCGATACGCCAAAGCTGAACACAAGTAAAAGAGGGACAACAGATTTCATTTTGCAGAAAAGTCAGGCTAGGAAGCAGTTGAAACAAAGCCAAATCAATCTACTTACACACAGTATTTCACCATCTTGTTAACAAAATGAAAAGTCTTCCACTCGAGTAAACAAAAGCCATTTTCATCTCCACACTGCTACTCTTTGCTCCTCTGAGGAGCTCGAGTTTGGGGTTGTGCTCGGCAAAGCTCCTCTGTCCAAGGTGCTGCTCTGTCTACACAGCACAGTTCGATGACATCCTTCTGGTGGCTGCCCTCAAAGATACAGGAAGCCGTAACACAAAACCCTGCCCAGCCTCCTCCCTTCCGCAGGCAAAAGGTATGTTTACTGACAGAAAATGGAGTGTCACCAAGTGTTCTGTTACAAACCACAATTTAGCAGAATGGTCACCCCTAGATAGGAAGGATAGGCAACAAGGTGATTGAATTGCCTTCTGCGAAGGCGGGCAAGCAGGCACTTACCTACGAATTGCTACTGAAACTGTTCAACCATAAACAATCACATCAGAGAGAACTTAGGCTGTCTATCACAGAACTTCTCTAAACCTCCAATGAAACATTTTAAAATTAAGAATATTTACTACTCATGCTATTTCCACATTAGAAAATGAAAACAGAAGTAGATTTTCACTTGTCTTAAAACAAGATATTTCTTACTTCTCACAGAAGTCTGTACATGGAAGAGCAATCAATTTATTACCTCCAGGACAGACATGAGTTTTGAGTTTTTATTTAAATTGTTTCTCCAC